GCAATGCCTGCTTCCCCACACCAGCTCCAAGGGCCCGGAAAACACCGCAGTTGTTTTTACTCACTATAAATTCAAGTAAGTAAAGAAAAGCCATTGAAAAGCACTGATCCTGTTTACGAAAACAACTTGGGAAAGCAGTTTTTGCAACGCCATGCTGATACGGGGGTCAGTGACGCCACTGTGACCCCAGCTTTTGTTTCTCCTAGATGCTGCCTACCTTAATTCTCCCTCCAAGAGAGTGATTTTCCCCCGGGTGGAAGTGTACTGCCAGATAGAACTCGCCCTTGGCAATGAGTGCCCCGAACGCAGTCGACCGAGCCTCCAGACACGGCCGGCCAGTCTGGAAGGATCCGCACACGTTCACACGCAGTGGGCTCCCAAAGGGGATGGAAGCGGGGGCCATGTTCCACCTGAGTCCCCACCTGTGCAGACACCTGCATCCACATGTGAGTGGCCCATGGAGTCACCTGTTTCACCACCTGTCTCTTCATTTGAGCAGTCACCTGCATGGCCACTGGCCTCCTCACTGCCACATTCTCCAGCTGACTGGCCACCCGGCTCACCTGCAGCTATGCACTCACCTCCTGGCTCACCACTGCCCATCACGCCACCTGGGTTGTCACCTGTGTCACCTCGGCAGCAGGTACGACCATCTGCATCAACACCCGGACCCCCACCCTCCCAGGCATCCACATCACCCAGGCCATCCCTGGGGCCTTCAGCTGTAAGAGCACCTCCAGCGTCACCCGCACAGCCACCTGCGGAGGAACTGGGCCCAGAACAGCCCCAAGGTAGGACCGCTCTGTCTTCTCAAGCTGTCTTCATGTCTGGAGCCCCCGTGCAAGTGCGTAACAACACGGTGGCTGATAATCGTTCCTGTAGGGTGTAGACTGAGGTTAGTCTCAGTGGCTCTGCCTGGTAGAGGACAGGATACCACCACAAGGGGGCAGTGTAGTTGACATTGTTCAGTCCCTTGCCGTGGTGCTTCTCTAAGTGTGGTCCCTCCTCTGCAACGAAAGCATCACCTGGGGACGTGTTAGAAATGACGATTCTGAGGCCCTACCTACTAAATCACAGACTTTGGGGGCTTTGCCCAGCGTCTTTACAAGCCCTCCAGGTGAGTTTTTTGCCTCCTCACATCTGAGAACCACCGTTGCAGTGGAGTCTTGCTGTGAGAGCCCCGCGCCGGGCAGTGCGGCTCTAAGAGCCGTCTGCAGGCGGAGCAGCCCTGGGCGGGAGCCGCGAGTTCCCTGCTCACGACGGAGAGAGAGCGGAGACTGAGAGTAAGCACCTGGAACCGTTCGCGGCGCTAACATACCGCCACGACATCCAAGAGCTTGACCGTTTTTCCACTAATCATTTGCCCTGTATTTCACAAAAGTACTAGTCTGTTAAGAATTGCAAATAAATTTTTTTTAAAAAACTGGCTCTTCACTACAGATAGTTTGAGAAGGGCTCCTATAGAGGCTGCAGAGATGGGGCCTTTCAACCGCCCTTACTCTCGGGAAACCTCTCGCAGAGGAGATGACATGGATATTAACCTCAAAAATATAAGAAGTATCAAGTACTATTATATATAATTAATAAAAACACGGTGTTGGAGAGTATTTGTAGAGAATAAGATGACTTCTTTCTAGGGAAATACGAAAGCCTTCTTGGAGGTGCCAGGTGAGTTAAAATGGGCGGGATCTGGACAATCGTGGATTGTGGGATTGGATGGGACGGAGTAGAAAGAGCATTCCAGATTTCGTTTATTCACGAGGCTCAGGTGCAGGGTGGGAAAGCGCAGGGTACACTCAGGATGAAGAGTTCATGTGTGTGACCACGATGGATGGTCTGGGTGGGACAGAGGAGAGGGACCCAAACCATGGACTGAAGCCAGGTTGTAGAGTCCCCACAGCCCATCAGCCAAACTTCCACTGTTATTGGTCTCCTTCTCTGGGGACCTGCCCCAAGTCAGGCATGACCCCCTTCCTCCGGAATTGATTTACTTTGATTCTTTTAATTACAGTGAGACAAAAATATCAGGATATTAACAGTCAGAAAATTGGTCAAAGTGTTTTACATGCTTTCCTATTTCCTGTTAAATGCAATGCATTTGTTTTATGTTATTTACACCTGTGCGTAAAGGTGGGCGTCTGCAGGTGCCTGGGCAGTCCCGCACCTGAGTTGGCATTCCTCACGCCAGGGATGGGCAGAGGCGCGTATAGCCCAGTGGTTCTCAACTGGGAGTGATTTTGCACCCCGCCCCAGGAGACATTTAGCGATACCTGTAGACATTTTTGGTTGTCACCTAGTGGACAGAGGCCAGGGATGCTGCTGAATGTCCTGCAGTGCAAGGACAGCCCCCAACGAAGAATTGTCTGACTTCAATGTCAGC